AATGCTTACGTAATTTGCCTTTGAAAATCGATAATGTAGAAGACAACCTAATCTTGAGTGGAAGATTGTTCCAAATAAAAGCATATTTCGAGGTAAAAAAGCGACAAAGGTTAGATGTGGAGCAAAGGGGTAGCGAAATTATCATGGAGGAGTTACGAGTGGCTAAAGATCGGTTAACCAGATAAAGAGCGTTTATTTGTGGGAGATTGGGACTATTGTTAAAGCGAAACAGAAAACACATACCAGCTTCGAGTCTTCTTACCCAAAGAAATTTATTGTTTGCTAACTGACATCTCTCTGTATAAGAAATACTTGTCCCAGAAATAGAAAATATTTAACGAGTGAAAACTCGCTGAACCTTTTTAAGCTTACTACGGTCAGTCGCGTTCATAAGACCAACAAGTTGACAGCAGTATTCTAGGATATGGAGAACAAACATGCGGTATATTTTTCACTTTGTTTCTGGAAGGAAAAAATTATGCGATATAAACCCCCATATCTGTGCGGCCTTGGCGGAAGTTCGATCTGCTTGAGGCGATATTGCAAGCTTATTCGTGTAAGGTAGACCCAAACCCTAATCGTAGATCGTTCTAACAGTGGACTATTTTGGAAGATAAGTTGCCCAGGAAGCTTTTCTGGACCAAAACACATGAAACAAAATTTAGATGGAGAAAACTCCCTCCATTGCTGAATGAAAATAAAACCTGTGTACCCGATTAATCCGGCAACGCTAAATTGTTTAGTACATTCTTTGCAAAGCATCTTAAGACGAAATCTGAACCGGTCCCGTCCTTCCAGCCACGCTTAGTCAATATTATGATTACCATCGACTTCTCCGTAGAATTAATTCCCAAGCACATTGCTCGTCTAAAAAACTCAACCCCTTCGGGAACTGACTGTATTTCAAAATGTGGTATCAAAAGAGTCTCGAGCTTCTTCGACTGCTTAGCCATATATTTTCAATCTATCTCTCAAACAGTTTCTCTCCTCACTCATGGAAGACATCAATTATTCTTCTAGTCTGCATGTCAGGATCTCCAGCTCAAGCAAACCTTTTTGAAAAAAATATTTTGAATCAAATTCGTTCCTGTTGCATAGAAAAAAGCCAAAAAACTTCTCACATTGTGGTTATATACCTGGAAGATCATGCGAAACCTGTCACCTGGCTTTTCTTAACCCCGTCACTTGAATGTAATAAGCAGCAATTAGTGTTTGTGAACTACTTTGACCTAGGCAAAGCTTTTAGCAAGGTACCGCACAGGCGTCTTCTAGTGAAACTGGAAACCCTCGAGATCCGGCCTTCTCTCCTCGAGTCAATTGGTTCCTTCCTGTCTAACGGCAGCCAAAATGTCTTATTTGGTACTAGCTCCTCAAGGCCTCAACCGATCACGAGGGACGTGTATCATGGCACGGTTTTAGGTTCCCTCTTTTTTGTTCTTTACATAAATGAAATTCCAACAGTATTCAGTAACTCGGAAAATTTCATTAAGAATGAAATGCGATACAGAATTTATCTTACACGAATAAGCCAGCATTATCGCCTCATGTGGATCGAATTTCTCTGAAGGCCGCGTGGTTTAAATTTTTAAGCAAAGAAGATATATATTTCAGTTAAGTTTTACGCTGAAAGAAATTGTCTGCGTAAAGAATTCTACCTTCGGGA